CTTATATAATCACCATTGTATGTAAAAATACAAAAATTAAAATCTTTGATTTTATAGGGAGTGAGGGTTAACACATGTCGTCCTTCAAAGTGGGTGAGGAGTACTTGCAAACTTACCCTCCAGTGGTAGAGCAGTAAGTCTAAGGGCTTATAACAGTGGGCAGAGCACAGATAGCCCATTCTGTAGCTTAACACAAGCAAATAAAAAACAACAAAACTTGCAAACCTAACTTAGAAATTCTTCAAACATGGTTTTATTCAGGTCAACATCCCCAGTGTGGATAGTATCTTCCAATGTCTACAGATTATTACAAGTTGCTTTATTAATATATAATCATTGATCATAAAAATGACCAAATATTTACAATGGCACACCATTCTGTGTATAATATTGTGTAAGATGATATAGAGGCTACTAAAAGTGGGGGCAATTCCCCACCCCCTTTTTTAAAAAGTGGATGGGCTATAGGTCGTTGGACAACTGTTTTCAATTTCTTTGGCCTGTGTCACATAACGAAACCCAAACTTTTCCGGAAAGACTACAAAAGTGGGTGGGTGGGTGGGGGTCATCCAAACGAAAAATTGTAAAAATTTTCTGAGTGACTCAATTACGGTAACTGTTATCATAAAAAAAAACAAAAAAACAACGTTTCTCGGACATCGTAGAGTAAAGAAATACAGATGTTTTTAAGACAGGATATGATCCTATGAATTGGCACAGACTGAATTTATACACAGATATGATTAAAACCGGAGAGCTGTAAGATGGATTACAGTTATATGCTATTAAAACTGAAGTAGATACATCATTGAAGTTTCACAAGAAACGTAGAAAACTGTTCATTACAACTTTGGAATTTATGATTTATCAACCAGAGGTTACAACTTGCAGATGTCTGGTTTCTGACGGATTTTGAGGGATCACGTCCACACTCTATCAACAAGCCATTAATATATAGTGGCATAGCCAATAGAAGAAATATAGGGGTAAATCTGTATATAATTATTTACCCTAAGCAGCGACAACAAAAGTGGGGGGCAGCCAAACGAAAATTGTAAACGTTTCTGAGCGAATCATTTATAGTAATTATTATCATAGTAAACATTTGAACTAATACTCAAATGCCCTTCGTATGATCGCGTACTGTCACAAAAAAGCGCGACATCATGACATGTGTTTTTTTGAGTGTGTTTGAAGTTAAACACAAAGCTACACAATGGGCTATATGTGTAATGTATCCACACGAGTTTTTCTCCACGAGGTTTAAAAGTTTCTTTTAATATAAGTTTTATTAACATTTGATTTATATGAAATAATTTTAAAAATCTAAACTTTATCCCTAATTGTCGTTTTTTTAGCCCCCAGTTGGAATTTTTTATTAAGATTGTGGAAATAAATAAAATTCCCATCTGAGCAGTTTGTCAATAGGTGATACAAAGACGGAAACACATAGAGTTACAACAACTTTCAAGCGTGCATTGTTAAAACTTTCGTTACAATATTCTCCATTTTTCAGGGTCGTTGAACCCGAATCTGGTATCATATTTTGTATTCTTGGCCTCCGGGGGTGTCATTCATGTTTGAAACTATGTTCATATCTCCATTCGCAGGCTAGCAAGACCAAACTTGGCAACATGCTAGGGTACCACGCTCCAAATGGGGCTTTTGTTCGAGCATGGACCCCCTTGAAGTAGCTATAGAAGAAACTGACGATACTGGAGGAGCTTGATCGGTGCACTGGGGCCTCTGTGGATTACTAGGGGGATTTGGAACCCCGCAACGGATCGCGGGTATTTAATGTCAGTGTTGATAATACAGCATTTACGTTTATCACACATTTTGCCTATGGAATTTTAAAATGGGGTCTAATGTTTCTAGCTGATGATGACAAAACCTTGTCGAAACGTTGTACATTTGCTGTTATATTAAAGTTTTTCTTCATTACCCATTCAAGCCGTCTCCAGCCATTATTAGTCTCAAAGTAAGTTCCTCGTCATCGAATTTGACTTTTCTCTATGTTAAAATACTTTTATTTGCGAGCTTTCAGCCCTCTTACTGGAGCCTTCATCAGGCAACAATTTAATGAACTATACAATTCTTTTATTGTGGAACATTGCTTTAAAATAGGTATCTAGGCAACAATCATAACAATAACTGACATCTGGTATTAAAGTTATTAACCATATAGAATTATGATGAATATAGAAGATAAATTGATTACTTCAATTTAATAAATATAAAGAAAATAGAATTTTAGGTATTATACAGAAAAATAAATAAATTGTTCATACTTCAAATAATACATTGTAGAATTAAAGGTTTAATTTTACACCAAAACCATGACAAATAGTATGTTTTATGTCTTTGATAAGTGATGTCTGTGCAGTACTAAGTAGTTATTGACCATTGTTTTGATTAATACCCACTGGTGGTCCACTGTCTTGTGCTTGGATGCCAATAGCTTCTTTGACTTTTCTACATTTGGTGTTTTTTTAACCTTAGCTGTAACAGGTATTGTGTTTCCCCAATGTATTGTTTATTACACTCAAATAGTGCTATAAGCCATATTCTTTGTGAGATGACTGGGAAGTGGGGATTTTACCTTCATAGTGTAAGAGGACTTAAGAAAACTAAAGTGATGTTAAGTTTATTCATTATCCTATGAAGTTTTTCCCCTAGGTCTAGTACATAAGGGAAAAATGCTTTTTTCTTTTCATTGCGATTGTCAGGTTGTGGTTCAACAGTGCTTGAGACAAGTGAACCATATAACATATGGTGAATTGTTTTCTTTGGATAACCATTATTCCTGAAAACCTTCTCAAAATGTTTAAGTTCTTCATCTAGGTAAAACCACTACTGTTTATTGGAAGGAGACTCAAACAAATAAGTATCTAAATCTTTATTCATGTCATACAATAGATGCCAAAACTGGGATTATTAATACACTACAAGAACTACAAGTATAATAATGCTCCTCATTTTACTTAGTGACAACTAAAATGTTATTATTGTTCATATATCATAAAAATATATGTACGATATTTTTTTATTAAGTTTATTTTCATACACTGTTCTAAGTACATTTTCTGTTTAAAAAAAAAATTGCTTCATCACAATTTATAATATGGTTCATATACCTATACAATTTTACAGTTTTTATTGAAGCCGTCAATGACTTCCACTTTAAAAGTAGATTCTACAGGTACATTGTTTCAGTGTCCTCTAAATACGCGTGCTTTTGAACATAAAATGTGTAAATATAAAATGTTGATTTTAAATAATACACCAGTGCCTATCATTCGTACTTGTTTCATATGCCTTCAAAGATGTATTTTTGATTATTAAAAAATGAGTGAACCAGGTTCATGGCATGAAAATCAGCCACTATTTGTAGCATTTAGTAACATGTAATCTAAAGAAAATGTGTCACAAAACAGTTAAATGGGAAGATGTGGTTTTAACAGCAACCAATCAAAACATATCAGTCATAAACAACAACAAAAAGTCAAGTAGTTCTTCCATGATGATAAAATACTTCAATGATATACTTAAACAAATGATGTACAGAAAAAATAACATGGCCTGATTTAGAATGCTTCCTTGAACACTAAAGGATTGATATTTACAAATAATGTTGTGTAAAGTGAGACAGTCTGTGGCAAGTTTTAACTTTATGCTTCATGGAGAACTTGGGCTTCTGAAACTTAAAAGGTAGAAAGTTTATCAAATTGGAAGATACACAACATTCAAGGTGTATCCACACGGATGAAGGTGCACTAAGAACTTAGTAACATTAGTGGCCTAGATTGGTGCTGTTTCCAGCAGTAACTGTATTTAAAAATAGCTTCCACCACCTGTGTAATAGAACAGCAGTCATGCCTATCTCCATGTGATTCAAACAAAAACCAATGCTCTTTGTAACCAAGTACTTGAGACAAAGACAGTTTGCAGAATGATGAAGTAAACACACACATCATTGACAGCAAAACACTAAATTAACTGTAACCATGGGGTAACATCCATGGTGTTCTAAAATAAAACCTTCTGCATGGTTAACTCTGAGATGTGCATTAATCATACATTGACACACACACACCAGTTTTCTTTATGTTGATGGAGGGATAGGTGACTACTATGAGAGGGGAGGAGTCCATGAAGCACTGGTTATTTGGAAGAACATTGTCTTCACGTACACCATCTCAGCACGCTGATTCTCAACATACAACTTGTGTTATGGAATCAAAAGCTTGTTCAATCAAACCTAACTGTGTCCTATTTAAGAGATCTTTAAGTACAAACATGAGACTGCAAATGTTTGGATGAAGACAGGAGTCCAATCATGGTTTTTCCCTCATAGAAACAAGAGGAAGGAAAAGACAGAAAACAAACAGATGAAAGGAAGGACAACCACTGAGGGTCAGAAATCCATAGACCTGCAATTAACCAATCCTTCCACATTCAGCCCCAAAGCATCAATTTGTAGATATGTAAAACTTTAATATAATACACTGAACCCTTTGTAGAAGTTTTAGCTCAACACGACATCCGTCCATACGTCCCATCTACACTAAATTTGAAGCTTCATTTAATTTTATGAAAACTTAGGCAGCATAAGTAAATTTCATGTTATTGTAAGATGTGTAACACTGAGTAATAACAACAGATATAAAAATTGTGCAGCAATTTTTGTCATTTTGTTCACATTCACTGATCTAAGGACCATTTAATATCGGTATTAAGTGTAGTTTTAGTTTTTTAAAAAAAAAAAGATATATTCGAGTGGCCATCACTTAATGGAGCCAAAGCTTCCCCTTGCTTATTACTCAGTGTTACACATCTTACATTATAAATAACATTCCTGTCAGTAAAAAATGTTATGACACCATACACTTGTACATGCAGTAAAATAACAATAAAAATCAAAATACTTTACATACACACACACACAATAAACAGAAACGTAAAAATTAACAGGATGATAGTAAATTGTATTGAATTACCTCTCTGACTAATTCCGAAACTCTCCCCATTCGATGTAGAAGAAGTAAATGCCAATTAAAAATGGCTACCCTCATTTCTTGATCTTTTTGTAGTGGATCATTCTCTCTTGAGCCTCCTGAAATAGTTTCATTCAAACTATCCATAGAGTTAAACATGTTCTGGTTGGTAGTATTCTTACATAGTTGACACAGCTGTAATGCTACATCGTCTTGGTTTCTGGCAATTAAACATTCTATCCTCTTCAATAGCATATCCAGTGGTGGAGGCCCTGGATTTAAAAAAACATTTCCAAAATTTATTCTACAGTCCATATCAGTAACAAGTTCGCAGATGCATATAATATGCTAAATGTTTTACTCTGAAATACTAATATGTAAGATAGGCTTAAAACGGGAATATACGTAAGAGCAAATGTACTATATTACATTTATTGATATTGGCACATTTTGCAAGTTTGCATTTTTTTTTTATACTTATTAGCAATACATTGTTAGTAATATTTGTATATTTTTAAACTGATATCTCTAGTTTAAAAATAAGGGTTGTATGTATTTGGCAGACATCTTACTTTCTGTTACAAAACACAGGTTAAGTTAGATTGAATTGAACAAGATGAGTGGTGTAACTTGCATGACATGATGAGACTTAATCACAAACCACCAGTTGCAACATGAAAACATTTTATAGAAACCACTTGAATATAAACTAATAATAAGTCAAATTTATCAAGAAAGATGTTTATTATATTAATAGTGAAAATGTATGCACCTAACACACCTTTTAAAGGTTTCACATTATATTCTGAATATAAAGATTCAATACATTAAATTATTGTATTAGCACTCACATATTATTCAGTCTTAGGAGTTTGAAACGATTTATGACTGTAAGAGCTTTCAATTATTTTGAGAAAATTTACAAACTTTAATTCTTCTGAGAAATAGCATCTAAGTATGTTTTTGATAAATTGTGAAACATACAACAACTGTTATTACAGTACAGTGTGTATCGATGTTAAAAGTTTTAAATATATGGCAGAATGGCCCTGCAATTTGCCTCTTTTAACCTCCTTCCACAAATATGCAATTCTCATTTAAGTATCTAACAAATGAGAAAGTTAAAATTTTCCTAAGCTGAAATTGTACTTCCGATAGATACCCCTTCTCACAAAAAAGCTTTCTCGTGTAGTACTTCCCTCTATTGGCCCAAATTCTTTGCTTGCCACTAGCCTTGTAACTCCCACTTCTTTCTACATATCTACATACAGATAATCATGCAACAACTCTCCACAAATAGGAGTGTGACACTACCCCCTATTGTAACTAACACCCTCTCTAATAATGCACTTGTTAATCCCTTCGAGATTGGTCATGACCAAGTCAAACAATACACTGGAAGTGGGGAAGACGAGTGGGAAATGTGAGTGGAGGTAAGTATCTATTGGAAATACATTTTCAGTTTAGGAAAATGTCAACTTCTGATACAATATCTTACTTCCACTCATAAAAAGCTAGAATCCCACATTGAACTGGTGGAGTGTTGGTGAGAATACGATACTCCTTTAGAAAGCACCCAAACAAAGAGCATGAGATGTGGTAAGGAATTAAAAATAACACACCAGTGGTACACTGCATCATTACTCAGCCAGGTATGCTCTTCGCCCTTCAAGAATGTGTTGCCAAAACAAAAAAGGACGGAAACATGGAGGATCCTGAAAAAATTATCAGTAGGAAGGGCCCCCAGGTGTTGAGTTGCAAGGACACAGCAGACCATACACCAATACCTGGTGGAATCTGGAATTGTATATCAGGTCTGCAGTAGGAAGAGGGTCCTCTGCCCTTCACCTCAAAAATGGGTACTGGGAAGGAAGATGAGCTTCCATACCAAGAACCCATCTCCAACACAACCAACACCTGATCTACTGGAAACCAACATCCAGCAGATGATAGAAAGTAAGGAAAGCTCAGAAGGCATTCATCTCTGGTCCAAAACTTGGCAGCATTGGGAATGTGTCATCCATTTTGCAGTAAGAGGAAGGTACCCAGCCTTACACATATGGGAATTTATGTGTTTTGTCCAGCTTCCAACCAACACAAGATCCACTGGGAACTGACATCTGGAGGATGGTAGGAAAAAGGAATTCCTCAGCCAGAGAGGCAAACTGCAAAATATATATACAGACATGGGAGAGTGCTACAACTAACACCTGGCGGCATCTGGAATTGTACATAAGGTCTGTAGTAGGAAGGACATCATGCCATCAACACTAGCAGAATGCCACCACCCTACTCTCTGGGAATGGCTGGGAACTGGTAAGTGGCAAGAACTCCCATACTCCACTAGAAGAAAGGGTGGAAAGTGCATTGGAGAGTGTAGAGGGCCACAGCACTGGAGACAGTGCAATGGGTGACCACGATACCCTATTTTGAAAAGCAGAGCCACCACACTGACAGAGTCAATCAACCAACACCCGGCAACGTCTGAAATTCTACATCAGGTCCATGGTAGGAAAAGCCTCAACACAATGGAGCAACAGAGATGGGCAGTAATCTCTACCTGCTTTACCCATGTAAGTCCAAGACCTTACAGTCTAGAACACACGTTTATGAAGCAAAAGACCATGAAATATTACTTCGACTAGCCATATGGAACACCCCATCTCTACAGTATGTGTAACATGAACCTGTGACATGTGATGATATGTCATGTATGAATTGTTGATATCAATGCAGAGATGACAATTGGACAGAGGTAATCAACTAACACCTGGCTGCATCTGGAATTGTACGTCAGGTCCGTGGTAGGAAGAGTCTCAAAATTATAGTCATCTAGCATGGTCATAGGATGAACAGTGCTGATTTGAGACTAAATGTGCCTGATGTGGCACCACTTGCCACAGAGCGGGATCCATAATCAATGTAAAGAAAAAGAAACTGAGTACTTACCAGTCACAAAGAACCAGAGGTGTGCATCTGTAAAAAGGTGAAAATCTGGATAAGGCAGAGGAAGAAGAACCCCTGTAGTAGTATTGGTCCAATCCAGCCACGACGCAAAGACTGTCAGTAATGAAGAGGGAATGGTAATAGGAGCATCCAAGGAATCCCAAACAAAGCGCTATTGTTCAATCAAAGCCCACTGACAATGGAGCATGTAGGCTCGACTAAGATGAATGAGGGCTTCAAGAGAAGCCCTCATACCCAAAAGAGATAGAACCTTTCATGCAGTAGAAGAGGGTGAGGAGGAGACCTCGCAAATAAGACATTCTATATCTCTCAACCAAAGTGGAGAAGGAAGGACCTGACTGAGAAGTGAATTGAAAAACACACCAAGATGAATCAGAAACTGAGTAGGTGTGAGGAATAACTTCTCCATTTTGATGAGCCCACCAATCCTGGGAGCTTCCTGAAGAAGAAATTGAGTATGGAGGGCAGATTCGGTCCATGAGGATGCCAGCAGGAGCCAGTCATCCATGTAATGGAGGAAACAAAGGCCCCAGGAATGAAGCAGTCAAGTGAAGGACTGGACAAGTCGGCAGAACTCAGGGAGCCGATGCCAGGCAAACCGGAAGCCCCCTGACACTGAAAAACACACTCGTGATGAACAAAATGAAGGAAATATGCATCTGGCACATTGACTTTTGTCATTCACAGACCTGGAAGGCAAACCCAATGGAGAGTTAACTCAGACTTCATGGTGAACTTAGGAACAATGAGGAAGCAATTTAGAGCTGATAAACTGATCACTGGGTGCCAGTCTCCCATATAAACAGATGAGACTAAAACCTGGGATGAGAAGGATCTCCTCATTTGATGGCAACCTTGAACTGCTTCAACAAATGCTGGCATGAAACGGGATCCCACTGAGGGGGGGGGGGGTAGGATGGGGATACAACAGGAAACGGAGGGCCAGACCTTTGGAAACAACCTCCATATGTGGGTAAAGTGAAAGAGTCTGTTCCCAACTGTCCCTGACTCAAGTACCAAGTCACTGACATGTTATGCCCCAAAAGTAATGATGGGCAGCCAAACAAATGCACAATGCAGATGGATTAGAATTCCATACTGGCTTTTTGAGAGTGGAGGTAAGATATCACATTGGAAAATGTGATGCACATGACACATTCTAATATTTTTGTATCTTTTACAAAGCACTTTAAATGTAAATAACCCTACTAATATCATTCACACTGGTAATATATTGTGTAAGTGCTATCTCGAATAAATTATTGCACTGTTATTTTTTAATAAGTCTAAGAGGTTTTCTTTTGACAAATCCAAAACCTGATGTGGGCTATTAAAAGAAAATGAATATAGATTTTGGAAGTCATACAGAAATTTAAAGCACTTTTGGTAACATATTTCACAAAATTGTGAGATTTAAATGAACTTAACAGAAAATAATTAAGATGAAACAGAGAATAAAAAAAAACTCATCCAACAAGATGGCCAGAAATTCAGATTTACTGATACAGAATGATCATCTGAATTAAAAAGGTAATACACAGTAACACAACCAAATAATTTGAATTTAGTGGGCATAAACAAGGCCTGATAGTGTCAAAAGTATAGTTTTATAACATATAACTGAAATTAACCTCACAGCAAATAAAAACAACTATTGTATGTAGTGTTAAAAATGTTCCGAGTTAAAACAATTTCTAAATATAACACAATTATAAAACAAAATCAATAAAGTTCTTTGGGTAGTTCCTGAAGATGTCTTCAGCAAAGAGTTACACCTAAAAATCTACGCAGGAGCCATAAATAGGGAATTAAAATCTTAATTTAATCAAAATAATCTGAAGTTTATTCAGTTCAATTCTATATAGAGTAATGTCAAATTATTATCAGACATATTTAGATAAAATATGATGTTTGGCATGCATAGTATCACATCTGTGCAAAATATTTTTAATTTCAAACTTAATAATTAGAATTATCTTGATAATTTAATATCAGAATTTTTTCTACCAACCAATTTTATTAGAATCACAATCTCTCTTCAGCATCTCTTGTAACAATGTCATTCCCCAAGAATCCTGAATTGCTATGGATAGCATCTCGCACAGCTGACCTGCTTCATCGACCACTTTAGCAATAGAGGGGCTGCAATCCTTGATTACCTCCAGGATTTGTTGTATAAGTTCAGGGTTTACATCAGCCCATTGTTTAGATGAAATTACCAGGGCTGTTTCTCTTCAAAGGCAAAACAATATATCAGGATTAAAGGTCTCTAAAAATTATCTCATTTTATTTCAATTAAATGAATGATTTTTTAAGTTCTAAACACTTCATATGCACAATTGATAATGTAATTCAATTTATTCAATTACCAAAATGTTTTAATACTTAATCATGTTCTAATCTCTATCGGAACCCTTCTTAGGTCACCTTATTCCTGTATTTTACTTTTTAATTCTTTTTCATTAGATTTAGTATTCTATAAATTATGTTATTTCACTGACATTATACTTAATTACAATGACTGTGACAGTAATATTTGTTAATAAAAGAAGATATGAATGATGATGAATGTAAAAACTTAGTGGAAAGTAATGAACTGACTGAAACCATAATTAGCAAATAATGAGAAAAAGATGGAAATAAGAAAATTACAGAAAGGAAGAAGGGCATTTATCAAAACTAGATAAGTATTTAAGAAAAGTATAACAAAATTTCATTCAGCTGGAGCAATAAAATCAGAAAAGAAATAAAGGTGTTAGTGATGTTGAAATTTTTTGCAAAGCTACTAAAGGGCTATCTGCACTAGCCTTTTCTAATTTTGAAGCAACAGACTACAGTCAACCCCACACACCACCAATTCGAAGATTACTCGTTATCAACAAATAGTGAGATTGACTATCTCATTATAAAGACTCCACAATGAGCATTTTGAGCAATGGATTTTGATCCCGTGATCCACAGATTGTAAGTCAAGCTCCCTAACATTACACCAGGCTAAGAAATAAGGAAAGAATAGAATACACAAGTGAAGAAGAAACAGAAAAATACATGGAATAAATTAGAACAAATAATGAAAGTTGTGAAAAGTAGTAAGGAAGAAAATCAAGAAACAAATAAACAAAATACAAAATATAGCGGATAGAGAAAGAGAAGAATGGAGTAAAGAAAAAAAGGAATTGCCTGAAGAGTTAAAAGATTTAAAAGCTGAGACAGAATTATATCCAATAAGGACAGAAAAGTATAAATTATGAGTAAAAGAAAAAGAATTTAGTATTTTAAGAACCAAAGAAGAAGAATCTAAACATGGGAAGATACAGAGGAGTTTAAAAATTGAACAAAGTAGTGGATCTGAACTGGAAGGAGTGGAAAGAATATATAAAGTTGAAAGAAAACAAGAAAGATGACCACAGCCTATAACAGTGATATTTGAAAGAGAGAAAGAAAATAAAAGGTTTTTGAAGGTGTGTGTGTGTGTATAAACACACATATTATCATCCTATACTTCCATTCCTCATTTTCTGTCTTCCAACCATTCATTATCCTTCCTTGTCCCCAAAAATTTTTCACCTTTTGCTCTTCCTTTATTTTTCTCTCTATTCATCTTGTTACTCCACTAAAAGTTTGAACTACATTTTTCCTCTAAACTCTTCTTCATTTTCTGTTTTAGTCATGTTTGTACAATAATGACTAATATATTCACAAAACTCTGTTTATTAACTATTCCTGCAACATTCCATTTTAACATTTCCATTTTCTTTTGTTTTCCTTTAGTTTTAGTTAATTCATTGCCAATCTTCCTCTCTTTTGTCAGTTTTAAAAGCTAATTCTCTCTCTCCTTTTATTAGATCTTCTTAACATTTCTTAATGACCAAATCTTTCTTACTGTCTTCCCATTCAATTCCTGTCCTTCAGTTGTTATATTATCAAATTTCACCTTTACATAACTTCCTTCCCTTCTTTCTCTCATGTTTTGCCACATCAAACAGTTTCTTCCTTACCTCTATTACTTTTTCTGAAACATCTTATGTGTGTGTCTTCTGGCTAGATCTTCTAGACACGCCTTGAACTCTAGGCATGGAGTTGTTTTGTGGTTGACGGCAAAGTTGAGGCCTTTGTTTAGAAGTTGAAGTTCTGTGTCATTGAGTGTCCAGTCAGATCTGATGATGACAAAACCTTGTCGCAACATTGTACATTTGCTGTTATGTTAAACTTATATTAAAGATTTTCTTCATTACCCATTGAAGCCGTCTCCAACCATTATTGTTTTTGATTGTCAGGAAGATAATCAACTAAGTGAAATTATGAGTAAATCAGTTGTGATGAAAATAATGATTTAATTGAAATTAGGACTTCCGATTCTTACTATTTTCAATTCTATCAAAGTAATTAAAATATTATTACGTTTGTTTTAACCTTATAAGATTTCAAAACATAAATGAAACAGTATTCATGAAAAGTATAAAAATTAATTTTGTCCCACATTAATGAACTTTGTTGTGTATTTCTAAAAACAAATTACTATATGTTCTTCTAGATTTATGTGTGTCTAAAATTAGTAGCATAGTATTTTAAAGTGATTCAACTACTAATGACAAACAGTAACTAGTATACATAAATTGTAAAGCAAATAAGTAATAGCACAATAATTGAGACAAATTCTATGATGTTGTAATGACATCAAAATGTTTTCATCCTTATTATATTCTGTTGTTATTCCCCTTTCTGTTTTCCTCGTTTTAGTGACCCGCTACATAAAAGAACAAAAGACCACCTCTACCTCAAACATCCTCCAACTACAGAAAGAAGAAATCCATGACATCAACCAACAGACTTTTATCACAGATAACTACAAAATGTGGTTTCCCGAAGTTCCCCAAAAACTGTATTTTAAAGAACTTTTTTAAAGAATTCTCAAACAAGACTGCCAATATAGTCAACCAATCCCGTAAACTGAAAAGTAACCTCACAAGTAACGAGATCAAATCCATTTATAATCTTAAAAGGGACACTAACATTAAAATTATAAAAGCTGATAAAGGCAACACCACTATCATCATGAACAATTCAAATACATCGACAAAATGAACGACATTTTTTCCGATAAAAAGAAATTCAAAGCCATCCCAAATAAACCAACAAACACACACGAAAAACAACTAAACAGAACTTTATTACAAATGAAAAAAGATAATTTAATTACTGACGATCTTTATTTTTATCTACTTAAAACTGATTCACGCACATCACAACTGTATGGCATTCCTAAACCACACAAACAGGACTGTCCCCTACGACCTATACTGTCCACTTATGATTCATTCAAC